TGGGTGTCCTATTTGTTGTTTCTGAATACAGACGTGACTCAGTTGAGAGCTCTTTCTGATCAATTTACTTGGACAGCTTGGTTTGCTTCAGGGTTGGCTTTTACTTGGGTTCTGGCTATTTATCTTGAACTTTAAGTCTAAAAATTCAGTTAAAATTAGATCATTATCAATTTTTTAGTGCCTGTTTCAAAATTTGATACATATCTATCTTGTATCTTGATATTTGATTCGTTTATAGTCTCAATGATTATCAAATTAACCAGAAGGAGGACAATAAACCATGTTTGTCTCCAAATATGTAGCATTTTTGCATTGAATAGCGTCTCCCATATCTTGAACTTGTGCTGCTGCTCTTGTCAGCTCAAGACTTCTACCATTCCACTGGACAACGCTCCCTTCTGTATTTAATCTAAAAGATGTTTTGTGGATTTATTTTATTAAACAACGGATTTGTTTGGTTGTGGATGAGTCTGTTTGTTATTTTTAGAAAACAAATGGTTGCTAAACGTGGTGATATATTCTCTTTCTACTCCAGTGCTTCCTTATAAAATAAAACTAATATTTTATTTCTGTTGATGTACACCTCAGCCGGAGAGAAATATCACATTTTATGTGTCTTAATTCTGCATCCAGATGGTGATTGCAATAGCATGTACTGGCTAAATTCTTATAAATTTTGCTTTTGCATAACTGTAGTCAACTTTTGAATGTTGAATGAAAAGTTTTCTTCCTGCCTCTGCAGCAGGTTCAGTTGGCAAAAGATGGGGTGGGAATATATATATATACAGGCCAGGCACGCTCACACATGTGCACACAATACACACTTGCTACTAGCTAGACCTGGTAATAACATTGTGTATGTTCTTTTTTAGATGTCTAAGGATGTGGAGAGTCCTGTAGTCAATGGTCCTGAAGCCCCTGCTCTCTCCGGTGAAGCCCAAGGAACATGGTATAGTAGTTTACTCAAGCAAGTATCTGTCTACGGAATAGCAGCAGGATACTGCATTTCAGCTTCTCTTCTCTCCATCATCAATAAATGGGCTGTTATGAAATTTCCTTATCCAGGGGCACTAACTGCTTTGCAGTACCTGACAAGTGCAGCTGGTGTATTCCTCTGTGGATGGCTCAAGGTCATAGAGCATGATCCACTTGACCTTCTGACCATGTGGCGGTTCTTACCTGCAGCCGTTATATTTTACCTATCTCTCTTCACCAACAGTGAGCTCCTCCTACATGCTAATGTAGACACTTTCATTGTCTTCCGTTCGGTGGTTCCTATGTTTGTTGCAATGGGGGAGACCCTTTTCTTGCACCAGCCATGGCCTTCAATGAAGACATGGATCTCATTAGCCACCATTTTTGGTGGCAGTGTGCTTTATGTTCTTACTGATTACCAGTTCACATTAACCGCCTATACTTGGGCTGGTGCATACCTGGTAAGCATGTCCATAGATTTTGTTTACATAAAGCATGTGGTAATGACTATTGGTCTAAATACATGGGGTCTTGTACTGTACAATAATCTTGAGGCTCTCCTACTGTTTCCGCTTGAGCTACTTGTAATGGGGGAGTTGAAGAAAATAAAGCATGAAATCTCAGATGAGTCTGACTGGTACACTTTTCAAGTGATTTTGCCTGTGGGTTTATCGTGTTTATTTGGATTGGCCATCTCATTCTTTGGGTTCTCTTGCCGAAGGGCAATTTCTGCTACAGGGTTCACTGTTCTTGGCATAGTTAACAAGCTATTGACAGTTGTGATTAATTTGGTTATTTGGGACAAGCATTCCACTTTTGTGGGGACAGTAGGGCTCTTCATCTGTATGATAGGTGGGGTTATGTATCAGCAGTCTACAAGCAATAAGCGCAAAGCTGTGAATGAAGCTACAGCCCAGGAGAGAGAGGAGCAACAGAAGTTACTTGAAATGCAAAGCAACGGAGCGAGCAATAACAATGAAAAGGAAGTCATTGAGATAGAAGAGAAGTGAAAGGGCTTGAAATAGTTCCATTCTGGGCTTTCCTCCATCTGCATATGAAAAGCATTTTTAATTTTGGCATGGTTGATGAATTCTTGGGGCAATTTGTCATCCAAACAACAATCTCCATTTGCATAGAATACTTGCTTTGAAGATCGGGCGCAGCTCTAATATATATATGGCATTTAATCTGGCCAGTCTTCCATCGTCCAAACTCAAAACTTGACCTGTTCAGATCGATACTTGATTTCTATTTCCCATCCTGCAAAGTGGGGTGGACAGAATTTTGCATTCTTTTGTTTATATTACTATCATGAACATTCTATTAACCCAAGCAATTTCTCATCATCTTACTGGTGCCTTGGGTTATATAGATATAGGTCAAAATACATTAGTCACATCAAGATTAGATTCGAACTTTGGTTGCTAACTAGTTTTCTCTTTATAGGACCAGTATTCAATTTATTGATCGTTTGTTACCATCTAATGCCTCTTCATGTTTATAAATAAAAATATTTGGTTGTTTCCACAGTTGTGTCATGTTCCTGGATCATCAATAGCGAACATTAGATGAATGGTTGAGTGCTGCAAAGAACCGTGAGCCCTCTCTGTTTCCACCCTGAAAAGTGGAACCAAGAAAAATTTTTGCTTTGAATTGTTCTGCCCCCATGAAATGTGGTGGTTCTTGCCCTTGAATAAGTAGTCATTGCTTTATTTGAAGGGCCATTCCCATTTTCAGATTTTCTGAAGAGATTACAAGTAAAGCTTTCACAATGGCAGGGGTCATTGGGGGCAGAGGCTTTACCAATTACATGGTGCCATTCGGAAATTGGAAATTTTATGGTCAAGTTGAAACAAACGATATGTTTCTATATTAAAGCATTTTTCTGATCATTTTTTAATTATAAATCATTGGAAATTTTTAGGGATGGCAAAACTTAAGCTACTTTTATGGAGGGGTGGTTTTTACTTTTTGGGAAAATATGGATCTCCAGTCTCGCCTCGCCTTGCTTATACTATTATTTAATTTTTATACATTATATGTACATATTTTGAGATTTTTTAATTAATAAAATCTAAATATTTATGTTGAAATTTGAAATGTCGAAACTGATTAGGATTATTTTTATTATATAAGTTCTTGGAAAATTATATTAAGTTTGGCATATTAAAATTTGTATCATATTTTTATTCTATTTAAAATTATGATAGATATATATTATTATGTAAATTGACGAGTAAGATTTGAACAAAAAAATTAAACATTATTCCTTTTGGTTAATAATTTAAGTAGAGTGATCTTGATGGACGAAGCCAATATGAATGTTAGAAATATTCATTAAGACAAGGCGAATACGAGTTTAACATCCGCGGTGGAGGCCGGTGCTTGGTGTCCAGGGGTCTTGGCTGTCTAGGCGGGGCCGGGGGGCGGATGAAGGGATCCCCGCCCCATTGCCATCCCTAGAAATTTCCAAAGCTTTCGCGTTTTCGTTTTTCTTCATTTTCTTTGTTCGTTGCAGGGCAATGTAAATTCACATGAACAAGTTTAAAGGATATTATGGATGAGTTGATCACTAGTTTATAATTTGACAGCTCAACTCCAAATTGGACCGATAGAATGTGCAGAGAAGATTTGAGCCGTGAGGCTGGGCTCAATCAGTCTAACTGAGCTTGTCAGTAGGCGCTGAGCCCAATGAGTCAATTGACACCGGCTGTTCTAACCCAGACAAAAAAGGGGATCTAGCTTGCCTGTCGGCCGAAATGAGCGAATAACTGAACAAGCCCCAGCCACCAATTTCAGACCCACAAACTACATATCAGAAAATGGTTGGATCGTCACTCACAGCAATAAATTTAATTATGCTATATCCAGTTTTTACCAAAGGGTTAAAAATTGGGATCTTAACCATTTGTCACGTCCAATCAAAATTCTTGGCCAGACCTTTATTCAAAACTGTACGTGACATCGATGTGATCCTATTGGCAGCTAAATTACAACACGTTCCTGAGAGGGGGGGTGACCTTTCACAGGAAAGACCTAACCGTACACTGCAAGCGGCAGTCGCAGCAGCAGAGATATTTATTCGATTTGGTTCCAAAATTTTCAACACGTGCCCGGCCTAGGCCTAGTGTTCAGTGGTCATCACAAAGGAGGTTTTATGGTAAAAATACAAAAACAATTCGTTGGTAAAAAAAATCACCTTTCCCACTAAAAAGTTTGTTAAGTTTTACTCTTTCCAGTGATCTTGAGCGGGTCTTGCCTTTTCTGAGATATAATAATGATACTACGTGACCTTGACAAGTGCTTAGCACTTTTTTAAAACGGAATATCAGTGAAGCCGAAGCAAATCCTTTCACCTTTTTGATCACAAGTCTAAACTTTTGACTCAGATTAAAAATGTCATTCAATTCTTTAGGTCATGGGGTTATTTCAAAGACAATCAACTGTGTCTTTTTTAAGTGTTTCCCCCTTCTTCGGTGAAAAAAATGTATGACCACGAGAGATTCCTTGTGTTACAAGAATAAAATTCGTTGGTTATCTTGATGAATGGTTCACGTTCGAACCAACAATTAATTTCTTGCTAGAAGACATGTAAATTCGCTTTCGATAAAATTAATATCTGAATCAAATTTTCATGGGTGGGAATGTTGCTTAAGCCTATGAAAATGGAATAATAATTTCAGCTGCCGACAATGATACTGTTACTATTAATGAACAGATGTTCGACATCATTCAATTGTCATATTAACATGTTGAAGCCAAGAGTTGCCAACCTATCCTAACGTGTGAATGTTAAAGGGATTGTAACAAATGGAAGGGGAACGTGATGATAATGTTGGCATTCAAATAGAAGGAAAACGAATAATGCAAGATTGAAAAGAGAAAGGAGAAAACAAAAACCCTTTGGTTTGACCCCATTGGCAAAGCTTAAGCCCTCTTTTATTTATTTATTTTTAAATCAGTATAAAGCTAGAAATCTATATATGATAGAATTTGGACTTGGATCCTAAAGATTGTAGGTCCTCTTCATGGCCATCGAGAGAACGTCTCATTGGCATTTTGAATAACTTTGAAGCAATGTTCAATTAGAGAACTCATGAGTGAGGAACCATTGATTTTAGGGTGTGACCCATTGAGTACATTGATGTTTGAGAGTTAAGAAGGAGAGAAAGGCAGCTGTGTCTCTCACCCACCTTATGCATCATTCACCTTTTGGCCCAGCACAAGAGAGTAAGATCCTTTTCCATTGCCTTAAAACAAAGGACCACTCCAGCCAATCAGTCCACTTCACTTAATTGCTTGTTCAAGTGGATCTCAAAAGCTTCTAACTGCTTATTTGATTTGATCTAGTATTTTTTTTAATTTATCTACTTCTTAAAATTCAAAAGTTAAGTGAAATAGAGATTATGAGAAGTTCTTCAAAAAATAAAATTTTAAAAAAGTTAAAAGTTCTTTTCTCTTTTTAGGAAATACCCAATTCTCAATCAATTTTTTTCTCGTTTCTTCTTTTTACAAATCACCCCTAATCTCACTCTTCTCTATCTCTTTATAAAGAATACTAGAAAAAAAATAAAAAACCAAAAAAAAAAATTAAAAAAAATCTATATAGAAGCTCAAATAGAAGCAAACTTAATTTATTTTGATTTATTAAGTGCTTGAAGATAGTATAAACATCTATTATGGTAATTTTAATTAAAATTTAAATTTATATAATTTATTTTATTAAATAACTTATCAAATAGTTTTAATTTAATTTTAAAAATTATTATTTTTTATAAAAACTTCATAATAGATTTTGAGCTAAAAAAAAAATCATACCAAATAAACTCTAAAACTAGACCAACCAACCTTCAAACATAGGGATGTGTATAATAGGGGAAATTCTAATATTAGAAAACTCTCAAGACAGAGGATACCGAACGTACAGTTTTTAAAGAATGAATGTTGGGGTGAGTCCTATGTTGAATATAGGCCTCACCTCCCTCCATCAATGAAATTACTTAATTTTTTTTAAAAAAGGATGTGTTTGGTTTTTAAGAATTCAAGAATCCTACTTTTAGTTTTCGAGAATACGTGTGGGAACATGTTTATATATGTTATGATTTGAAAACGAAGGTAGTTAGTCTGTATGGGTTTCATTTGGCAATTAAAACCAAACAAAGCCCAAGGCATCAATCAATCATATATATGCATGGTTACATTCCTGTTGTATTTATCCTATTCCTATGCAAAGTCTTGTGTTCAAAGTTAAAACTCCAAATACCCACTGATTGGTTACTTTTGGTTAGTAGTGTTTAATGAATGAAAGAAAGGACATCAATTTCTGCCTTTATCTGAAGTCCAGTCAAGGCACTCAATCACATATTTCTTTCACATTAAACCCCTCAACCACTCTCTTTTAATTTCTCTCAGTTACCCAATCAAAAGAAGAAGAAGCAGTAGCAGTCAATGATTCAGCTCCATTACAGATTTTACAGCCAAAAAGGCCGCCTATAATTTCGCTGATTTTTTTAAAGTACAATTTCAATGCTGTCTATCAAGCCTCACCCACCACCCTATGCCGTTTGTGGTGCACATTGGACTTGAGGTGGAAAAGATTTTTTCCATTGAAGGTAGCCAAAAATTTATCCATTTGGCTGCTGTTAACACTAACTTTCTCTGGCTAGGCTGATTCAGGCACAGATTAATTCATAACAGGTGACATCATTTTTATTATATTTATGTGTTTAAATATTATATTTATAACTTAATTGATATGTATTTTATTTAATCCCCATTCTAATAATATTCTTCAAGTGCAGGGATAATGAACCATCGTGTGGCCTGGATAGCATCGCAGGCATGACAAACTTATTATGGAGGGGATAATTCACGGCATATCATCTTAAAATCAATAGAAAATAGTTGAGATGGACCTTGTTATATGTAGCTAGGATGCCTTTAGTTTAGATGATATCAAATATACTTCTATTATCACTCTAATATCTTTTTCTATTTGTCTACGAGGAAGTTCAAAGAAAGGAAAGAAAGGAGATTCCAACTTTGATCTTTATCTTTTTAAGAAATTTCATAAATTCTTTAAAAAATTGGACTTGAAGTTCCAATGGGTAGTTTATGAGGTTTTTTGCAATTATAATTAATATGCTGATAGTAATGTAAATGTAATAATCTTATCAAGAAAATAGATACCCAAATAATATAGTTAATTAGTCACAAATCATAATAACATGAAGAGGTTGACAAACATTTATTAGTACTCAATTTGCTTTAATCATGAGAATTATTGTACTTAGAACATGGCACACGTCAACTAATTGTGATTAACAATTGACAAGGATCCATCAATTATTTGTTTTGGGTGATAATTAATCAAACTATTTAATTTTAACCTTGATTGACATTGCAACCTGCCAAATTTGCTTCCCCTAGGTCTACATATATCTTCGATTTCCGTAATAAATATATATATATATATATATATATATATATATACATACACATACAGAAATAATTATGAAGATGAAGTCATTCATTCATATATAATAAGGAATCCAATAAGGTTAAATGAAACAGTTTGACCGGTTGTTGTGACTCAAAAATTGAATTGACCTCAACCCATTATCAACCACAAGCACTTCAATAATTGATTCAAGTTTAAATCCTTGAACCATTTTAATTTTCCTGATTGAAATAAAAAGAAAAGCAATCCTATACTTGGGATAGTGATGGGTGGTGAGGATAGATTCCATGAAATTCATGACTAAAATATATTGGGTTAATGATTGAAGTTATCTTGTGAAAAAACACTTATTCTTGTTTCTAAGTGATCTTTGAAGCATGAGAAATCCAGATTTGGTATATCCAATTTTTCTTTTTTGGTTGGATGAGGGAGTTTTAGGATGAATTGTTGCTTTCATTTGTTTTTTGTATATATATATATATATATATATATATATTGGGTTAATGAATTTCTTTTCTAGAATTTACCAATAATATTCCATTTCATATTATGACCCACCAGGGAATCAATGCAATAATCTTGCCTTAGCTGATGACAAAATTTTTTTTCCTCAAATTTTGACTAAAACATATATACATATATATATGTTTTAATTTAATAAAATAATTTTAATAAGCAATATCGAAGCAAAACAAAAATCAAGAAAACAGGTTAGTGATCAATTTTATAAACTTTAAATTATTTTTTAATCAAATGTACTATCTTGATTCGAAAATATAATGGTTTCAACAGTTCGAATAAGATACATAAATTTGTATTAATTTTAACTAACAAAAAGTTTTCATAGATAGACTTGAAAGTCTCAAAACTCATTAATCAGACTTGACAAACAAGAACTTATCGATTTCCATATTTATTTACCTTTTGGAATCAAGGAAAAATGGTTAGTGGACTTGATTATTCCTTGCTTCTTGTCATGAATGTTTCATTGTTTACCTCTAGTTGTAAATTTTTTATGAATTTATTAATAGGTTTGAATATAGTTTTATACTTACAAAAGAAGGAATTAAAATTTGTAATTAAAAAAAAAGGAATGGGAATTACATAATTGGGGAGTGGGGACAGTACACAATAATATTTTGTGCACACATTTATATTGAAATATATTCATCAAATTTATGATTAAAGCACATAGATAAAATGAACTGTTCAACTAGGGTGAAGTAGTTTGGCATCGAAAATAACATTTTCTTTGTGAAAATCTAATAGATTGAATCATATGAAAATCTTTAATTAATACCAACTAATCTTAGGGAAATGCAATTGCTAACTAGATTGATGAAAGTTGTTCAAGAAATGTGAATAATAATGTGTTTTCTTCAATACCATTAAGAATCTTAAGAAAAACAAAATTCCAAACCAAATGCATCTCTTACCTTTAGTACTGATTTAAAAAAGACAAATTGGAATTAAACAAAAGTCAAATACATTTAAAAATTATACTCAAATGATTTGGACACTAAAGAAAAGCATTATGATTAAAAAAAGCATAATGTTTTAAAAATTCTTAAATTATTTAAAAAATTTAAATAAAGGCTTATTTTTTTATTATATTCAATTAGGCCTTTATACTTTTATTTTGGATCAAATGAGTTTTACGAGTAAAGATTAATTAACTGCATTAGTCAAAAAATCATTTATTATTTTCTATTCAAATGATGCTGTCATATAAAATAAAAATGTCACATAATCATATCATAATTATACATCATCATACCATGTTATTATTCATTATAACAATTAAACATGCCACGTCAACATGATATAGTTAAAAAATGATAAGTAACGTTTTGACTAGCAATAGATAGTTAATCATTAATTATAAAAACTTAATTGACTTAAAATAAAAATATAAAAATTTGACTAAACCTAATAAAAGAATAAAAAAAGATTTATTTTTTAAATAATTCAAAAATCTTTTTAAATAATATACCAAAAAGTTATAACTCAAACTTATAATTCCAACTTGACCTCCTTTCTCTTTGAATTAGATAGGCACATGCTATCACTCATATTAATTATTCCAACTTTGAATTTAATATTTCTATACAATTGGCCCGACGGCTATTACTTTGTAACACTTTCAAAAATGCATAATGTCGAATATTAACAATATTGTAAACCTTTTTTTTAACTTTTTTTTGTTCTAATTCATAACGGAGGAAGAAGTCAATGTGCTCCACGTCATACTTTTTAAGTCATGCCACGTGATTGTGCCACCTTTAATAATCTAACTCTTTCTTTCTCTTCTTAACTGATTAGCCTCACGTAATTCTCGTACAAAGCAAAGTTTATGGGGACCACCAATGCATAATTATACAATGATAATCATGTTATATATGACCACAACAATAATTCTTTTAGTAAAAGCATTAATTATAAAAGCTCCCACTTTAACATTTTATTGGGATTCCATGAGTGGATCATGTAATTAAATAGTTTATATAAATAATTATGAATTTTTTTCTTAAAAGCATATGATTTATTATTTTTGAAATATTTTAATCTGAATCCTATTATTTGATAAGGTATTCGAATTGTACAAATAATCTATTAATTTTTGAGTTACTATCCCAACGCATTCTAGACACTATTCATTAAATATTGGTTTAAAAGATATTTAAAATAATTTTTATGTATATTTTTATTAAAAATTAAATTAATAAATTAAAGTTATTTTATTACAAATAAATTTAAAGTTTAAATCATATTTACAACAAAAATGAATTTTAGTAAGTATAACATTTATAAGAAATTTATAAACAAAAAAATACATAAAAAACTAAAATTTTAGTATTAAAAATTATTATTTATAATCAGCTTGAGCTAGTGGATATTCTAAGACCACTTCCCAAATTTGACTGTAAAGTACTCTAAGCTTATTTGATTTAATTGGATAATGCAGGGTATGTGACTATAAAGTACCAAGTGACATCTCTATATAAGTCTTTATTAATAAATATAAGAGCAAAACAGTACATAATGAGAACAAAATAATTACAAACAATTGCAATATATATATATATATATATATATATATGCCAACAATCTAACTAATCACCACCAACAACTTATGTTGATGGAGAACGTCATCCTTGAGAACTTCATTAGTTAATTCATTTATAGCTTGGAGAATGTGTTGTATTTTTCAACTGTTCGACTAGATTTTAAAGATTTAATGTGCAAGATAAAATTTTTCAACCTCCAAAAGACATCCAGTCAAGTTAATTGTATTTAATGAATCACCTTCAATCAATAAACGGTGAAAATTAACCTACTTAGTAATAAAGATAATGAAAATCTCTCTTATAACAATTAGTTCGGCAATGATTGAATTAGCATAGTCAATGAATTTAGAAAAAAAATGAGTTTGATATAACCAACCTCATTGTGAAGCACTATGCAAATTCACATATCCATTATGTTACCCTTCGATGAATCGTCAAGGTTGAACTTGATATTGTAAGGAGCACATTTCCACACAACAACATTTTTATAAGATGTAGACCTTTTTTCATTTTAAATTATCTAAATTGAACAAAAATGGAAACAAAGGACAACCTCATCTAAGAATTTTTTTCATTTTAAATTATCTAATAGGGGAACCATTAATAAGCACTGAGACAAATGTTGAGACTAAACATGTCCTACATTGCAGATGATTTGCCTAAATTTTTCCTTGTCTCACTCTTTACTTAATTAATTTTTCCACCCAAGGTATATATTTATCTACCTTTGCAATTAATCTCTCCCAATAATCAAAATAACATCCTTTTTTTTCCCACGACCCTTTCTCCTCCCGGTTTGTACCCCAGCTTCTCAGTTCTATCTCTAATTGTTGTGAAAGTTGATGGGTAAGAAAAAAAGTGATCAATTGTATGCATTAGAATACAAGCAAATTCAATACTTTTAAAGAATTAAAATATTTAATTGTTGGGAAAGAGAGGATGGATATATATTCTCTTTTTTCTTTATTAATTGGAGAATTATTGCCGAGTCTAAGACCTTGTCGATCATTTAGATCAGTGGGTAGGGTTTGGTAGATCTAGACATTTTTCGTTACATACCCTACTTGAGTGATCTCAAATGTTTTTTGACCTCGATTTTTTTTCAGGATGTGGTTTCCATTTTTGACAAGCAGCTTTATTTGATATAATCCCAATTAATCTATGGTTACGAATTTGTGAGATATATGTCTTATGTTGTAACCATGCCTATGCCTTATAGTTGTGGACTAAATTTCAATCTTTTTATGATCTATTTTATTTTGAAAAGATTATAGTCATGGAATGGTTTTGCATTAAAAAAGAAAACCACTGTTGAATAAAACCAACCCAATCTGCCCCATCCTCGCCTTTACTCCCTCGCCAAGCATATTACCTATGACAAAGGCATAGTATAATATTTTATTTTTAAAAAAAGCAATTAAAATATTAGTGAAACATGTCCTTTTCTTCTGAGAAACAAGAAAATGTTTCACATGCACTTAACATTAATTGGCCGTGCCAGCTGTCTTTCTATCCATCCTTCTGATTTCGAAGAATTTGGCAACCCTATGTTTTAAGCCATATCTCATTTTGGAATTATGATCACATGAATTAATATAATATATATATATATATATATATATATATATATCCCAAGGACCACCCGTGACAGTTC